GTAGGGAAAGTGCAGCGATATTTCCTATGCTTTCATCAAAAGCCTGGCTCGGCCTCTTTCAGATGAAATGAAAGAAACAGCGACTCATATTTTCTTCCGGCGCTTACCAGTACAATTTTTTAATTCACAGGTGCTGTTTATGTTGCCGGGTGACCTGTTTACTTTTGACACAATATGATGAAAGAGATGCGAACAATGGGCGAAAATGTAAACCCCCCTACCCCTCGGAAATTACTGCCCTTGAACCCCCCCTCCCCCTCAGAATTTCCAATGATCTTCCGTGGGGGGTATGGATATTTTCTGGTTTCTTACGCGGTTTTCTGGTTTTTGTACGTGGTTTGATACCCTTTGGAAAAGTAGTATCCCACGAAACCCCCCTATCCCTCGGAAATTACTGCCTTTGAACCCCCCCTCCCCCTCAGAATTTCCAATGATCTTCCGTGGGGGGGTATGGATATTTTCTGGAACCACACAATATAAATGTCTCCCAAAATTCCTACCTTCGGTGATGTTAGAATCACCAACTCTTTCGTTTGAATTCTTCCCAAGAGATAGCCAAGAAAGTATTGATGAAGATATCCATGTTAGCAGAGAGTAAAGCCAATTATATACCTTAGTAGTCCAAGAAATATCTGTCATTTGCAAAGAAATACCACAATTTATAAGATCAGTCACTGGACAGACACACCAAAATAGAAACTAATTCTTTTGGCGAAAAAAATTTTGTAACGCTTACATCAAACATGGCATAACTTCTTGGTCTACTTATAATAAGTGCAACTGAATTTACACCTTGAGTACAAGTGTCCTGATCCACCCCTTGATTTAGAGTTTCTTGTTGCCTTGCATTCTCCCTGTAACTTGATGATGCACATGTCCTACCATCTGCAAGTGCAAAATACAAACCTAAACTCAAAAGTCCTTTTCCTTTAGCTGTAAAAGGAAAAATACCTTCAATGACTCCAAACTGTTACTAAAGTTACTTGTAAAAGGAATCCCAGCCAACAGGGTATCAAAAGTCTTTGTTCCGACATATTATCATGCAATCGCGTGCACGCATGCGCCGTTCAGTTAGTTACCACGAGGTTTTTCGACTGGCCTTTTCCTCCATGTTTGTTGTGAACTTTTACCGTTGGTTTTTCTTTAAATAAAGGCTCAAATGTTTTTCAAATTGCAAACCGGCTGAACAATCTTAATAGATACGCTTCAGAGAACACAAATCGAAATTTTTGTGTACTGCAGACTTCCACTACGTCAAACCCAGTTAAATCGAGCCCCTTGCTACCTTGAACACGATCCCATTTCCCTTGGATTTGACCCTGTTTTTCCATTCACCTACCATCAGCTACATCAAACTCACTTACTTTTAACTCCCCATCAACCCCCACTAACTTTACTTTTTTTGCTTCAAAGTTATCTTCAGCTGATAATCCAAAAATTAAGTAAAAATGCTCCCTGATAGAACATACCTGATTGACATGCCCCATTCATTAAATATATCTTATTAACCAAGAGCGAGGGCCGTACTGGGAGAATATCGGCCCGAGGTCTTGACAGTACGGACCTCGCTGCGCTCGGTCCGTACAAAAATGACCGAGGGCAGATATTC